TAAGTGGGACCTCCTCGCACTCAACGCGTACACCGCCCCTCCTCAGTCGCTGCGGTTCTTTCTTTAGCCTCGCGTCTGGGCAACCTCTGCGAACGCCTGGTTTTCGAGTGTTCGTTTGGTTGTCTACACTGCTGGTTAGAGGCGGAGAACACGAGGACGATCTTCTGGTTAGGGAGCCTGCGTGATCCGTGACCTACCTATCCACTTTTATTCCCACTACCCCATCCCTCGGGCCGACCTGTTGAGGTGTCATCCAAGTGATGGAGAGTTACGGGTGGCACTTTTCTCTTCTTTTCACTTACATAATCACTTAGAGAAAGACCCGTGGCCGGTCATGCAGGCTTCCTACTTTTTGCAATAGCTTGACTACACCTGCCCTCCCGAGTACTCTTTTCCTTTTCTCCCCTTCATCCCTTCCCCAGTGCAGGGTAGCAAACCGGGTGTGCGTCTGGTTAACCTCCGTGCCTTTCCTTGCATCTTTATCTCCCTCTCTTGACTACACCTGTCTGCCGCACGTCGAGGATGAACTTTCGTAAGCAAAACTTGTGAATAACCTGAAAGGGAAGTGATTCTGACTAATTGGCACAGCACGAACGCCAGCGTAAAGGCGCGGTACCACTACAAAGGACAAGGGAGGACACCTACAAGCATGAGGCGATGAGGCTCTCCCGTGCGATGAAATCATTCATTTCAGTTCCCGTTTTTTTGTGAGGTGCTGGTTCGCGTGTGCGGTGACCACTCTTTTATTGCACTCACTATACGTTAACTCTGTTTAAAAACGTGCTTGATAGGTGCGAATCACATTAGAGGCTTGTCGGTGTCACCTGTCGTCACGGTGCGTCATGCAGTCACGGTCCATCATTAAGACGGGTGTGCGCCACAACGAGTAAATCCCACTTCTAAGCGCTGGTCTACTCAATATGAAGAAGGCGACAACTAGCCCAACAAATAACGGATGACGTTAGCAGAGCAGAGACACCCATCCCCAAATGCTTCGTTCCTGCCCAGTTTTTATTTTGACTTCAATTGTTTCAATACGTACCTGCTCATCCTGTTTTCATTAGTTACTGTGAACATTGTCTTTACCCATCTTGCTTCATTTCACTATAAAGTTCAGTAGAAAGTTAGCGCTTGTCAGTGATATTTTGTGTTTTTGTGCTATCATTCTAAAGGTTATAGACAACATATGTGTTCATCTGCGGTGAGATCAGTGAGTTCCCCAATGTTCCTCTATATTTTTTTCTTTGTTCGTGGTAGTGTCCTATGGAACGTCTTATCGTGCCATCACGCGTTGCTAACGCAGCGCACTGAGTCGCGAGACCTTTGCCCGTGCACTTGAACCTGGAGATCCTGTACACTGCGCGATGGCCCTCGATACATGCTAATGTGGACGGAAGCTGACTGATACTATAGTGTGTCCTGACAGCAGTAGTCATCAGATAACGGTGTACGGGGTTCTTCCACGTTACCCCAGCTGTAGAGTTCCAGGCCATGCGTTTAGAAGTTTCAGATAGCAGAGGCGTGAACTTTAAGCTCTGGATAAACGTCTGAGTTACGACATTCATATTGGTTGAATACAAGGGGCCATCCCTCAGACAGACCTTCTCTACCTTTCTGACCAATAAACTATCCGTTCCTTTTTTTTTCATTTCTTGTGCCACTTTGACGTTAGTTACCAATCGCTGCCTTCCTCAACATAAACGAGGGCAAGATATGACTGAGGCGTCGACCCACGCTGCTTCACCACCAAGTTGTACACTTTATGCATAACAGAAAACAAAACACCGCAAAACCAGGGAATCAACGCGCTAGAGATAGTGCGCGAAATTCATATCTGCTACCTTACTAAGCATAGATAAGCTGCGAAGTTGGAAACACGCCCATATTCTGAGTCTGTCCTGAACGTTCATACAAAACTCGTTCCGGCGCCTATTTGTGTGTGTGTGTGTGTGTGTGTGTGTGTTTGTGTGTGTTGTGTGTGTGTGTGTTTGTGTGTGTGTTGTGTGTGCGTGTGCGTGTGTTTGTGCGCGCGCGTGTGTGCGTGCGTGTGTGTGTGTTTGTGTGTGTGCACACGCGCGCGCGTGTGTGTGTATGTGCGTACGTGTGTGTGTGTGCGTGTGTGTGTGTGCGCGCGTGTGTGCGTGTGTGTGTGTTTGCGTGTGTGTGTGTGTGTGCATGTGTGTGTGTTTGCGTGTGTGTGTGTGTGTTTGCGTGTGTGTGTGTTTTTGTGTGTGCGTGTGTGTTGTGCGTGCGTGTGTGTGTGTGTGTTGTGCGTGTGCGTGTGTGTGTGTGTGTGTGTGTGTGTGTGTGCGTGTGTGTGCGTGTGTGTGTGTGTTTGCGTGTGCGTGCGTGCGTGTGTGTGTGTGTGTGTGTGTGTGTGTGTGTGTGTGTGTGTGTGTGTGTGTGTGTGTGTGTGTGTGTGTGTGTACGTGCGTACGTGCGCGCGTGCGTGTGTGCGTGCGTGCGTCAGAATCTTTGGATTATTATATGTATTCGAATTATCATCTTCGAATTATCATAACGACTTCGTGGTTTAAAACCGGCCACCGATTACAGAAGGCATGCATGTTACTACGCGTAATTCCTAAGGACCACATTTTGTGTGCATAGCAAGTTTTAAAACATTTGACGTGCATAATTACCCGTGGTTTGAAGCATGCTACCCATTATACGGAATGCAGCCAAGTGCGAAGGCTTCACTGACACACGCCACTTTCTACTTTATCCACTACATTGTAGTAACCAACAATTTAATCTTATCGAGTAACATGATACAATAAAAATTATGAACTAAGTGGTTGAAGTACGCACTAGGAACAGTATATCGCTATCACATTCAACATTTAAGTACAAAACTTATGGTTCCACCAGTTTCTCGCTACTTTTCTTAAACAAAATAGTCTACTGACACCTCACGTGAATTAACGCATGAGGATGTTAAACACATTAAAACACATTATATTGCGAGAAATTTTCGAGAACCTTCACGAAATTTGGGCCAATAGCCTGCAGCTTCAAGACAGACACACTATCAAAAATCGATGAGGAAAAGAATATGCCTCTCCTACGATGGGTGTTATTCTACTTTAAGCTGATTTATTGATCGATTTGTGGGGTTTAACGTCCCAAGACCAGCATATGATTATGAGAGATGCCGTAGTGGAGGGCTCCGGAAATTTTGATAACCTGGGGTTCTTTAACGTGCACCCAAATCTGAGAACACGGGCCTACAACATTTCCGCCTCTATCGGAAATGCAGCCGCTGTAGCCGGGATTTGATCCCGCGACCTGCGGGTCAGCAGCCGAGTACCTTAGCCACAAGACCACCATGGCGGGCCTTTCTAGTTCAAGCTACACACGATTCTAAGCTCTGATATATGAACCTCTAAAGGATAAAAAAATATCTATGTTACGTTAATAAGCAAGCATGCTAGCGTGGTAACATCCACACCACCTACGTAGAAGGAGTCACGCATGCCGATATTTAGTGGCCTTTATAGAAGGTTATCCGCTAAACAAGTCCCACAGAATGCCGCATTGTGGTGTTAGCGTTATGAAAGGTATGATTGACAACCACCAGTTCGTAGTACAGGCAGCTACAACGAAATCCATGTGCATTTCTAAGAAAGCAACGTTCTCAGTCGAAGAAAATTTGTCTTGGCACAGCGATCGATCCCACGACCAACGCTTTTTCGAGGGACTCACTGATAAGATGTCGTGAGGGCCTACTGCAATCCCTTTATCAATTCGTTCGTGTCCTACTGTATCATGTACCGTTCAAAACCTTTATGTGGTCACAATTAGCGACTCTCTGTCCTGCTTTGTTACATGCTCATGCAAGCCCCGTGCGCGCTCCGCCTCATGTTCGCATGGTTGCCCCTTACGTTATGGCCGAGGCTTGATTTGCTATTTTTATTTTTATTTATAACATACTGCAGACCAGAATTCGGTCCTTGCAGGTAGGGCACTCATAGTACACTAAAAAAATAAATACAATACCAAAATATCAATACAGTGAGTACAAGGAATGCGCAAATTGTTACACTCAACTTAGTAAAGGCACTCAGACTACATACTATAAAATAAATGCAGTGCTGTAGTTAGAACAGAAGTAAGTAAAAATGAAGTAAAACATGCAAAATGGAAACACAACACCTAACGCGTGTATTATGGTAACTTAAAAAGGGTCCTTCAATATATGCCCAGAATTCCACTCCAATATACAAAATCATACAAAATCAAAACACAACACCTAACGCGGGTATTGCGGTAACTCAAAAAAAGGTCATTTATTTCATGCCTAGAGTTCCACTCCGACACAGTCCTGAGAAAAAATGAGTGTTTGTGAATACTTGTCCTAGCAAAATGAGGGGTTAAAGCACGTGTGTGTGATCGTGACGTGTACTACTTGTGGACAGAGGTGTTACATACAATGCGGGGTCGATGAATAATTCACGTTTAATGTGTGATTGTAGAAAATGATTGATTGATATGTGGGGTTTAACGTCCCAAAACCACTATATGATTATGAGAGACGCCGCAGTGGAGGGCTCCGGAAATTCAGACCACCTGGGGTTCTTTAACGTGCACCCAAACCTGAGCACACGGGCCTACAACATTTCCGCCTTCATCGGAAATGCAGCCGTCGCAGCCGGGATTCGAACCCGCGCCCTGCGGGTCAGCAGCCGAGTACCTTAGCCACTAGACCACCGCGGCGGGGCGATTGTAAAAAATTTAGGCGGAGAATGTGCCTACGTGTTTCGAGGAGGGGGATGTCATTTTCTGTCATCAGCTGTGTGGGGGAATCTGTGTGCTTGAACTTAGAGCGAAAGAAGGCTTACTGTTCGGAAGTATGCTTACTGTTCTCCCCAGACGCTTTACTAGAATCTTCCACTTTACTACAACACGCCGAGGGCCCTGTAATCTCGTACGGCACTGCGTTGCTGGCTGCAGCAGCCACGCTCTTATCACAAACCCCATCCACCTCCTCAATGCTCTCTTCGGCGAGCCAGCGCACATCGCCACTATCTGCTCCCTCGGCGAGAAACCGTCGTCGACTCAACAATCTGCTTGTGGGATGTCGTGTTTCCCCGCCGGCGGATACGTTAGTTCGTGTAACCTGGACGTCTACAACTGCACAGCACGTTTCTCTCTGGCGATGTGCTGCGGCGGCGTAATGGCCTTAATACCACCCACGCGGATTTGAGTTTCAAGCGACAGTGGCGTCGACCTCACAGTGTGTGTGCTCTGCTAGGGTGCAAAGTGAGTAGGCGTTGCTTGCATTCGGATCCCGAGAAGGAACAGGCCCTGCGTCGTCATGCCATTGTTTCCCAAGAGGCAGCCATCGCTGCTGTCCATGCATCTACCACTACGCTCCACGAAGTCGATACCCACCATGGACTTGTTCCAGGTTTGACTTTACACACATAGGTTTCTGGGCTTTTTCTTCGTAGAAACGCATCTGTCTGCGTGTTTCGAATCATTACACTTCCATCGACAGCTGAACCCAGACGCACGCGCATTCAGATGCCTGTAATGTTTGCTGCACGGTGTTTTACGTACCATGATTGAGAAATGGCCTAATGGAGGGATTAGGAAATTTCGACCACCTGGAGTTCTTTAACGTGCGCCAAAATCTAGGCACACGGGCCTGCAGCACAGCACCTCCATCTGAATGCCGCGGTTGGGATTCAATTCCGCGACCTGAGGATCAGCAGTCATGCATGATAACTGCTAGACCACCACGGCGAGGTGCTGCGTATAATGTATAGTGGCTTCAGATCGAGCCTGAGAAGTGACATTTTAAGTGTAGCAATGGTACCGGAACGCAAAAACATACATTCTTTGGACGAAGTTTCAACGTTCGCAAGTAATCGAGATCATTCCTCGAGTATCACCTCTCGTAGCCGTAGAGTAAGTAGCTCCGGGGAGTTAAAAAGGTAAACTTGACCCAAGCTTTCCATTTTTAAACATTAACCGAAACACGATTTTTTTTTTTTCTGCCGGTGCCAGAGATTTGCGTAGGCACTTTCAGTCTAATACTTTTTCAAAGATTAACTAAGCTTAATCAAGCTTCTCACTGCACGATATTGTTATTTTGATTCATAGCCTTCATTCAATATCGCAGTCGAGCATTTCTTTTGCAGGACATATATTATTCCCACGAATGAAGTGCCTGGTATCAGCCTGGCATAAGATTTTTGATAAAAAAGCAGCGAGTGCATAGCTTTCAAGAAAGTAAACGCCTGCAGGCCAGACGACGGTTATTCTTGCAAAACAAGTCGATTTTCCAAAACGTGCCAAAAGTTTTTATAGTGGTTGAATATCTTTTATCTAAACGTGACCCGATTGCTAACAAAGCGGCACTGAACAACATCAATCAAAACTTGGCAAATTTCACGCTATGCGTGAAAATGATGAAAAAAATCACCGATATAGTGGTAACGCTTAACCAGACCTGCGTGTAATACTTCTAGCTGTTGGCGATACAATATATTGAAAAAATTTGGCAAATTCAAATCATTCTGGGAGTCAATATCATGCGAAGCTGTAAGATAGTAGTGGCCTGTGCCATATTTATTTGACTTATTGAGTCAAGCGCTGGGAGTTGGGCCGACTTTTGTGCGCAATTTGAGTATTTCATGGGCAGGCCCGTAGCGAGGATTCATCAACTAGCCCAACAAGTGTTTTACTAAAGTAGCAAGAAACTTTTCTTTTTCGAAGGCGTGGGAGGAGGGGGGGGGGGGGGGTTGAACCGTGCATGGCAAATAACACACAGTAACGACTGCAACTATCTTAGAAAAGTGCCTTACGTTTCCTAAAATCTTAGCAAAAAATGTGCAGGCTGCTGCATAATGTCCGAAGAGTACTTGAATCTATTTTGCACTGAAGCAACTGCTGCAAAAATATTGCGCGCAATCGAAACGCAGTGGCCGAACAAGGCGAGCATCAGCTCAATGCCAACATCAAAGCAAAGGAACTTGTTTTTCGCCAGGGCTGTTGTCGCCACCGTCAGGACTCATAGTTTTCGTTGGGAGCTCTGACGCATACAGGTCTTTGCGGCGGGAACGCTGTTTCGATACTCTTAGCAATTGCCAATCTCCCCCAATCTGTGAATCCTTCGTCAATATTGGAAGACGTACATATTGACAGAGGCTAAATCGATAGCTCACACCCATCCTGTCGCCAGCAATAGGGACGAAATATTGAATAAAACAGAGAAGAAGAGCTAGCGATTGGTGCTGTCGGTACTCACAAATATCCTTTCGAATGTGAGTTCCCCCATCAGCAAACTTCGCACATGTTACTGCAGAAACACGAGCCTCGTCATCTCGGCGAATTCTTTGCGACCAACTCTCGCAGTGACGTAGAATGTCGTTTTTTGACGTTTTTCCCGCATTGAATGCAAAAATAAACGAGATTCACGGTTCACGTTCGGTTGCTGCTGAGGTATGCTTCTTCGCGTTCGCGTGGCGCGTTAAGAAGGCGACGAAATACTATACGGACTGTGGTAATGCTAAAGGCACAGCCATGCTGCCCGTTTAAACCACGCGCACTTCCAAATCGCTTGGAAGGGATATGGCGGTGCTAGGTCACGTGAAGAGAGTGAGCCAATCGCATCGGTGGCGGAACGCGGAAAGCAGACGCGACAATATGAAAATTTTCCAGTGACCCCAAATAAAGCAATTAACGCCCTTACGCCTTCCTTGGCCTCATATCTTGCTGGTTTCCGTTAAGATTTCATATGCCAAGGTCATTCGTATTCTGTTTTTGCATAAATAGGGCCAATGGCTAAAATATAGTGCAGATTAGTTCTTGCTTATGTTCATTTCAAGCAACAAAAAAAGCATACTTTTTACATGGATAGTTGGAAGCGACACGTCAAACGACTTTTTTTTTAGAATAGTAGTGCCTTTAGTAAGTGATCATGTACAACAATATAGTACCAAATAGAGTTACGTAAAGAAATATTCCCTACGAAGGGGGTTCAGTTCATCCGAACCTCTGTAATTGCTCTATGTCGCTAGTCGAGACAACTAGCAAAAACAAAAGGGGAACAAAAACGTGTACAAAGAGTCGCAGAGAGCTAATGAGTTTGCTTCCCGCGTGTTGCTAAGGCTTAAGACATGTAAGCCGGGGTGAGCTTACATGAAAGAGTTCCGGTGTCATAAAGATATGGCGTTTCCGCGTGCAGGCGATCGCCGAGGGCAAGGAGGGGGTCTTGAGCCAGTACCTCGAAGACCTGAGTGACCCTATCCGAAGGATAAAGGTCAATGACCGCGACAAGAACACGGGCGCCACGCTGCTTCACCAGGCCGTCAAGATGAAGAGCAACGCCATCCTGGACATGCTGCTGACCTTTGGTGCAGGTACGCATGCTGCGAGCCCGTGTAACGAAACGGGAAAAAGTTGACAGCTACTGCGTTTGCAAGCATCTCCACAAACAATGAGTCGTCAAGTTACGAAGAGCTGATATTTGACGAAAAGTACAACGTTCGGAGGTTGATTCGCGTTTCGTACTTCAATGGTCTCTATAAAAGATGTCCGAGCTAATTAATTCGGGCAATAGTACAAAATTATGCCGGCGCACTTTGGCGCGACCAAATGCGCTTTGCTGGCGATAGCATGAAATACGTCCCACTGTTCTTAGTCTTCCTGCTATTTGCTTAATTAAACAAGGTTGATGAACTACTGGTGCAACGAAGGTGGGCGACAAATTCTGATCAGAACGTTATAGATCGGTTTGCAAAATATCCGACTATAGCTGGTTTCGAGATCTCTAATAGGTGTTAGCGCTTTTCTGTTTCCCACAGATTAATTCCTATGAAATACAGCAAATATTAGTCGACAAACTCGGCAAACGACAAAAAAAAAAGATAGACTAACAAACCATGAGCTAACTAGCCAAACCTAACTAACCAACCCTGACTAACCAACCCTGGGCTCTTTATTTTGAAAAATACCGAATATACAAGCAGCAGCCAATTAATTTCTGCAGTGATAGATAGATATGTGGGGTTTAACGTCCCAAAACCACCCTATTATTATTATCATGAGAGACGCCGTAATGGAGGACTCCGGAAATTTCGACCACCTGGGGTTCTTTAACGTGCACCCAAATCTGAGCACACGGGCCTACAACATTTCCGCCTCCATCGGAAATGCAGCCGCCGCAGCCGGGATTCGTTCCCGCGACCTGCGGGTCAGCAGCTGAGTACCTTAGCCACTAGACCACCGCGGCGGGGAATTTCTGCAGTGCCACAGGTCATGAAATTGAATCCCTGCTGCGGCGGCTGCATTTTCGATGGAGGCGAAAATGTCGTAGGCCCGTGTGCTCAGATTTGGGCGCACGTTAAAGAACCCGAGGTGGTCGAAATTTCCGGAGCCCTCCTCTACGGCGTCTCTCATAATCATATGGTGGTTTTGGGACGTTGTCACACACTTCGGGTGAGGCCCCGCCGATCCAACATCGACGTGCGGCAGACTCGCAGGCTTCCACTTTACGCTTCGGCCTGCGACGCCTGAAAGGCCTCGAAGTGGCACATTTCAAATTTATTTGCGAGTTGGTCGACCCGTGCGGGGTTGCACGTGTGGTGATGTGGGGGCCTGACCGACGCACTCATAGAGCAGACACAGAGTTTGATTACACATAAACAAGCATTTAATCGAAACAAGGGCAAAGGCAGGAAAATAACAGAGAGGAATAACACTGAGGCGCGATGGAAAGAACAGCTCTATAACAAAATATGGAAAAGAAAACATTACAAAAGATACAGACTGAAGACAAATACGCGGAATGTTAAACTAATGGCATGAATCAAAGGAGATACAAGGCAATAATTACAGAATGCTCATGGTGGCGCTTTTGAATTTCAACGTTCGACGCAGTGCACCCTACAAATATTTAAAAAAAAAGGCTGGTTAAAATAATTTAACAGTTTAAAAAAATGTCACAATAAAAAGTTCCATACGGACCAGGCCAGCTCTTGGTGCACGTAAGGGAGTTGACGGGTGCCGCTGACGATCTCGCCGGCTTGGTAGACGACGAGGGTGCCCGGAATTGCAGCCGTCTCAATACGTTGCGCGGGTCACTCCATGCTCGCCGCCTACGCGAGACTAGCGACACCGACGACCGCACTTCTTGCTGGCTGTACGTCAACTGCCCTTCCCCGATGCAGTCAAAACCTCTTCAGCGGCGTACACATGATCCCGTCTCATCTGGGGGTAATTTTCCTTTTTTAGACCGCCGGTGCCCCTTTCGGTACAGGTGCAGGGAAGACAAGCCGGCGCCACGCTGGGTCGTTAGTCGCCGGATGTCATCCCCCGAACACAAAAGCGCCCCTCTTTGGAAGATGGGGCCCACGGATAATCCGAAAATTGGAGTCGTTTGTGACAGACGTTGAGCCCCGCGTATCAGTCAATCAATAAGTTTGAGCTGCACGTGATCTCTGACATATTACCACGAACAGCCACCAACTCGTACCATTTTCGGCTCTATTTCACGGATTGCGTGTGCTATAATACTCATCATAATTTCTGTCCCGTCGTTGCTGTAGTTCTTGTTTTCATACGCAGTTAGACGACCTCGCCACGTAATCCTGGTGTCCATTTCCGAACACAATATTATAAAAAAGTTGTGACTATCGGCTTTCCATTTAAAATTCAACCTCATTCAGTTGAACGGCAAGGCATCCACGATCTACCCGTCAATCGTCTGCACAGCCTGCCAAGCAATAAATCCATCCTCGAGAATGCGAGAAAGCTAGCGAAATTTGAAGTACAACCCAAAAAAAGATAGGCCACTAAAAGAGACTATGATTTATTAGCAAACGACGAACACAACCATAAAAGGTGACGGAGCGAGGCATTACTAGCTCTCTGAAAGCCGCAGATGTTGACAGATTGCTGAACGAGCACACTCGTCAAGCGTTTGCCAACGCCAACTTGCAGAGTATTTTCCCACAGCTTTTTCTTTCACTGAAGCGCTCGTCTTTGGCACTCGTCCCCGCGCTGAAACACGCACCGTCACTCACTACGCTGATCTTTTTTTTACCCATTTCTTTCTTTCTCTTCCTTGTTTTATTGCGGTTCTGTAGCCAGTGCTGAAGTAGGATTCACCCGAGTAGCAATTGTTACAGCCTGAGTGACGAAAGTGTTGAATAAGGTTAAATTATCAAGACGAAGGCCTCAAGTGCCTCAGCGAAAGCGAATAGTCAGCGCCGACGTCAACCCGAGTTGTGCAAGGTATTATCACGCGATGACATCAATTTATGACGCCATCATGATGCCAAATACACGCGAAATCCATGACGCCATCATAACGTCACTAGGCAGTCACATGAAGTGACGTCACACGATGACGTCATTGCATCCCGTTGTCGCTCGGTCAAAGGAGGACAGATCTCGGAGGCGACGCAAAATCACGTGACGTCCACGGAGGCATTGGTCGCGCCATTATGTCATTAAAGTTGGATTGCAAACTGTACTTGAAGAATCTTAGTTACAATGACCTTTCTTTATTCACTGTCTTCTAGAATCCCTGAAGTTAGCCGAAAATGCATGTGTTTGATTTTTGTTTTTGTTTTTTTCGTTCACAACTCTTATAACGTATAAGGACCACGAAGCACATATATTGAGAAAGTGTAGTGTAATACATACAACTAAAGAAATTTTAGTAAATCCACTGCCTTTGCAGTCAAAGATTTCATATTGCAAGAACTTAGCTTGTAATAGCATAGTATATACAAGAAGCAAATACTACACAAGAAAAGAAAAAGGTTGGCGCTAGTTTCATAGCGCCTACCTTTTTCTTTACGTTTGTGTCGTGTTTCCTTCCTTTATGTACCGCACTAGTACAAGCTGAGTTCATAGATGACCAGCTCGTTGGAGCTGCAACACTTCTGATATTGCAGACAATGGTGTAACAGCAGAGCAGAACAGCAGTGGAACAGTAGTGCAGAAGGTGATGAAAAACCGCGTTGGCTGGAGAAAACATTCAGGATGAGGGAAGGGGGTTTAATGCAGTTTACTCAGACTAAAAAGAAGAAGATGACTTACATCTTCGAGCCGTCTTATTACAAGTATTTAGCATCTAATGTTGACCATATTCCAGCTCAGATTAGAAACGAAACACCCATGTTGACGTCGACGCGTAATTTTACCAATATATAGTTCTCCTACTTTGGCAGGCATCATCGTTCTGTTTCTTCGTAAAGCTATTTCAAAAAAAAAATGGCAGCATATCCACGGGGTGAATGATGAAGAGTGGGGCGAAGCATCCATCCGTCCATTCGTTCTTGCTTCCGTCCGTTTATGCGTCCGTCTGTGTGACCGTCCTTGTGTCCATCTACCCGTCCGTGCGTGCGTCTGTTCGGGCGTCCGCACGTTCATCTGTGCGTCCATCTCTGCGTTCGTCCTTGCATCCGCCCCTGCGTCCGTACATGCGTCCACCCTTCCGTGCAGCCATCGGTGCGTCCGCCCATGCATCTGTCTGTGTGTCCGTTCGTCCACCTAGTCAACACTCCAAGTACCACCATCTCGCATCTCTTCATCATATATTCCGCATATGCACCGCCATCCAGCGGATATTCCAAGGACTAAACGAGAGGTGGCACATGCATTCTTTTTTACGGCTTGCGCTTCGTGTCTACTTCCCACCTTTAACAACCTCGAGTTCATGGTATATACTAGTTCACTGTATTCATGGCACTGCGGCCCAACGCTCACTAAACCTTTCTAAAACCTAGGAGGTTACGCCCAGCGAGTATGACGTAGCAAACTTTTTTCAGTCAGATAGTGCTCAATGTACATGCCAATGGCTGCTAATGGGAAATGAGAGGCGGAGAATTCGGCTTTTAGTTAACGCACACGCTGCAAATTTTTTATTGCTCAACAACGCACAGGAGAAATCTCCCACCGGCACCACCTTGCAGGTCAAAGCGTAAGACATGTTACGCACTACTACGAGCGTTGAACAGGTGCCGCTTTAAGAGGCTTTGTCTCTTAAAAAAAAATACTGATTCTTCCTAACAGCGAAGTTGTTCGTGGTTGTGCCTTCCTAGCGCGGGATGCCTAGTAACGCTGGGGATGCCTAGTAACATCAAAAACGGGATGCCTAGTAACATCATAAACGGTTGCGCGGCACAGACATTGGATAAATTCCACCCCTACTTTCTGGTCCGCTTAAAATGAAAGAAACAGCTAGCCACAAGAAACAGGAACGTGCCACAGAGATCTGTGCGGTGTACCGTGAAACTAGCATCGTCATAAAGGCGCATGTCCCTTACACATTGGGTAAATCCCACTGCACACAACTTTCACTAAAAGGAATGAAACAACAGTCAGCCCAACAAATGACGTGCGCGTTATA